CCCCCCCCCGCCTTTCCTGCTCGTAATAACCACCTTTTTGTCAATGTGCTAGTCTTTTTACCTGGCTTGGGCAAGCATGTCCAGGTTGCGGGCAAGATTAAGCGATTCCGAATATCTCATGGGTCGAAAGAGAAAAAAATTGAGTAAAATCTGTTGAAATACACACACTCTCAAAAGTGGGACTAAAATTGAGACTACAGCATATTATGTCACCCTATAGGGGATTTCAAGAGATAAATAAATATTAGATCTATTGGTTCCGGTTCCAGCTCAGCAGGAAACTATTGATTCTGATGTCAACGGTGGACAGTTTGTTTATTAATCATTAGCTTGCCGCGGGACATAAATATTCATTATTAATCACAGGGTCGCTGTGCTGTGAGCCGGACTGAAACTGCTCGAGGGCGTTTTTTTTAGAGGGGGGGGGGGGTTGAAAGCGTTTTTACGGCGCTCGAAACTGCATAACGTCATATGAGCGCGCCGGACACATTAAATTTAAACACTTACAGTTGGTAGAAAATTATGAATTTTGCCCGGGTGGCGGCCGAAGCCTACTCTTATCGATTTTGGACCACAAAGGGATCTTTAACGTGCGCAACTTGTACACGGGTCCTCCGAGATTTTTCGCTTTTGTCCCAGAAGGCTAGGTGTAGATCTTTCCTACCATAAGATCAGGGGTGTGGCTGAAAGACTGCATTAAGAAGGAGCCAAGGAGTAGCAGTAGAAAGGCTGCGGAAAGAGTCAGGAGAGGGCAAAGGGGGTGGTGAAGAGAGGGTAAAGTGGGTGAGGGGCGTGGGGGCAGAAAGTGGAGACAAAAGCCGACAATATAACATTGCTAGAGAGCAGGAAAAGAAGAGAAAGGAGACAATTTTAGAGAACAAAATTTCCCGTCGCTATCCGGATTCGAACCCGGGACCTGTTGAACGAGAGGCGAACACCTTAACTTCTAGACCACGAGAGCCCCCATTGCTCGAGGGCTGGATCTGGCCCGCTGCCCATAGTTATCCCATGCCTGTTTTATACCCAACAACTTTTCTTAATTCCTACATACAGCACCATGACCTCACCTCGTGTTCATTTTATCATTTTACTCGTAAAACAGTTTTACAGGGACACTTAGAGTCTATCTAATTGAATAATATATTGTATATATATGCAACCAAGATATACAAAAAGACCAACAACGGATTTTCGAAATATTGTGAAATTTACGATTTTATCAGAAGACCGACGGAATATTATGCCTGTGGGACCAGCACGCTGTTGATCTAAAAATAATATAGAAAGTAATGTTTTGTTCTCAACTTTACGAAGGCAAAGACGGGGCGG